TTACATATAATGTAAAGTTTATAAATATTATTTTCACATAGTTTCAAAATTGTGGGGTTACTTATTTATTGAAAAAATGTTTAAGGGAGTAAGTATATCATGAATAACACATTAAAGTTTTGTTAATGAAATAAGGGTTAAAGGGCAAATCTACCCTTGAAGAATTTACTAAGGTACAATTGATATCCTTAAGTATTTAAAGGCACAATGTTGTCCCAAGCTAATAGATCCAAAATGTTTTCCTTGCTCAGGTGGCATTACACCTGGCTTCCATCTCAATGTTTTTTTTTTTTGACCCCTCTGTTCAATGCTCTTCATTCTCACTTTGTCACCAATATTTCCCTGTCTTGTCCTCAACCTTCGTCTCTCATCATTAATGAACATCCAAGAATTTCAGATCCATAATCAATTTTTCATATTCACATTTCACAACAAATAAAAAAAAATCAAAAATAAAAAAGTATTATTCTACAATGTTCAACCACACCCACGTATTGTATTGGATCAGAATCAAAATAAGAAGGGACTACATGGCTACTCAATCGGACAACCAGACAGCCTATCTAGATTACCATACTCACTAAGAGACTTACTTGCTTCTAAGACTTGACGGCTACCTTACCACACCAGAGGGAAATGGCCCTTCTTCAAGGCAAAGCTACCTTACCTTACCCGACTAAGCAAGTGAGACAAGTAGGCCACTCTAGTTGATAAATGCGCTCAATGAAGAAAGATAGAGCCAGCATGAACAAGGTGATTGTGAAAGAGAACTAGGCAAGAAACATGAGCAAGGCGATGCTGAAAGAGTATTCTAAAATGTTCAAGCCACAGTCGCTTCTGCGTCTTAATCAACGTGCAAACTCAAGGGTGAGTATTCTACAATGGAGATTCATCTTCCTCCCACAAATAGATTTGGAACTTTTTCAACAGCTGCATCTCCATCTCTATCAATGCGTTTTGTCTCCCACAGCCGTATTGTCCCACCGTCCTAGATCTATGTTGACCATCCTCTATAGACGCATGATATCGCCTTCCTTGATCCGTGCTCTCTGTCTCCCACAATAGCATCGTCTTGCCTTCTTAGATTTATGCTCATCGTCTCCACCATTTCATCACTAGCAAAGTTAGAGAGGGATAGAAGGAGAGGAGAACCTCTTTACCATTTCATTAGCAACATGGGAGAAAGGAGTCGAAGAGATCGAAGTTACATGAGATGGATGACAAACTAGTTCTCTTGATCTAGGTAAAGAAAAAGAGTGAGGTGACGACATGTGGCTGCCACTTATGGAAGGTCGGGTCCACCAACAGTCAAATGTTTGAACCTATTAATTTAGGGTGTCATTGTGCCATTTCTGAAACATTTGAGGCAACATTGCATCTTTAAATACTTAAAGAGATCAATTGCACTTGAAAAAATGCTTTGCGGTGGATTTGCCCTTCAACTCATGAAATAATGGAACAAGCAAAGATATGGTATAAAATTATCATTTTAAAATGACAGAGGAACTTTGTTGGATCAAAGCGCACAAGGTTAACAAGACAAATCTGGCCATCAATCAACATAATTCCATTTGGTCCTGATTATAATTACGTAATACTTTTAAAACTTAAAATTTGTCTTCAATAAAGTTCATTAATTAAAGGGGGATTGCTTACTTAATTAGGATATTTTTTCTTCAGCTAGGGGATTATTTGGTTGATTACAGAATATAAAAAAAATTACATTTACGAAAAAATAATATTTTAAACAAAGTGTTTTCTATTAAGGAGGGGAAAATTTCTTATAATAAGAATCAAAGGGAAATTTTAACGAGTATTTACCATAAGCTATATAGTAGCTCATGTTTTAGGCTTAGTTAATCCTCCTATGATTCTATTTAAAGGATAGAAAGGGAAGATTAATTTTGGTATCATTTATAGAACGTTTCACTATTTTTTAAGTCTATCTTTACTGTTTTACCCTTATTAAATGCTAAGAAAATTTATTAAAAATATTTTTTTATCCTTATTAGGAATATAGGTGGGAATTCATTAAATTTTAAGACATGGTTAATAAGATTTAATATTTTTTTAATTACAATGACATGTGTTCAAAATGACTTAGTATAAATATATCAGATGGAGTATTCCATAACGCATATGAAACCTCATAGCTCATTCAGAACTCCCTTGGATCTTAAACATAAGATCTAATTAAAAAGATTTGATTTGATCTTTAAATATAGGACATCAATCTTCTTCATCTTTCACTGTTTTTTCCCACTCTCTTTGTCTCTCACATTTAATATCTTTATTAAAATAAGGATATTTTAGGGAAGATACAAGCATTATTTTACACAATATAACTCCCTCAATTAAAAATATAAGGTTTTTTTTTTAGATCATATGTTCAAAAATATAAGCCATTTTTAACCTTTTAATATGTAATTATTGAGCTTTTCTTTTAACCAAAATACTCATAATAAACAATCCAACATCAACTAGTTATCTTTAAGTGAGGCAACTTATTAAATATGGGCAAGCATAGAAAAATGGTATCAATTTAATGACATTCAACTGACTCATTGAAAATAAGATCCAATAAAAAATGTCTCGTATTTTTAAAAATTAAACTAATTTTTGTTATCTTATGCAAACCATAAGATTATAAATTCACTAACTTATAGTACACGTGTTGGGATTGGAGGGAGAATGTATCATAACAAATAATTATGGTTGAAAATTAACTAATTTATGTAATCTTAACCAAACCATATTGATAGGAAGTGAGTATCGCTTTGTTTATTGGGTGGGTACCACGTTGTTGGATTGTGTTTATGTTGTCTTATGATAGTTCGTTTTTTTTTTTAATTTATTATTGGGCAGCTACCATGTTGTTGGATTTTGTTTATGTTATCTTTATGATAGTTCGTTTTCTTAATTTATAGGGCAGGTACCGTGAACGCAACGATGATAAACATGTTTATATTAATTCAAAGAAACTTAAACTAAATTATGAACCAAAGATTATATAATTGTTGATGTTTTAGAATTATTTTAATTTTTTTTTATAAAAAAAATGGAACAACAGAGTAGAGTACATTTTTCATTACTCATTTCCATCGCCACATTCTTATTTTATTCCATTCTCATCTTTTAAATTGTGTGGCTTTTTTTAAAATCTTTTAGAGTATTTTCGCTTCCTTTTTTACCCCTCTCGTGCCCTATCTAAATGGATAGGCATTTTATTTGCCATGTTTACTTTGAAAATTACACTAAAAACTTAGTAAGTTTTATCTTATTACAAAACATCTTTCAAAACAAATTTGCTTGTCTGGATATATATTTCATTGTTTTAGTTTGAGAACAAATATATTTAATTCTAAGCTTAAGCCTTAGTTTGGATGGAGGAAAAATATAAACAAAATAAGGAGGAAAAAACTACAAAATAATTTTCAAAATAACTTTTTTATTACTTTTAAGAGTTTTTCCTCCTAGATTTCCCCCTACTAAACAAAGGGTAAATACTATTGTTGATAATTTTGGATATATATTTTTTCTCTGTATAAAATTATACAATGTTTTTAACTTATTTATATTCTCAAAAAGATATCAATAACATTTAAAACTATGCGTGCTTTCCAATTTCATTTTATTCCTGTTTAATATAGTATTTTAATTAAAAGATTTTATTAATTACACCCTTTAATTAATAATTTTTTAAAAAACTTATTAATTATATTTTAAAAAATTTAAAATATCTTATATTTTTAACACGGTACTTTAAAAAATGTCATGCACTACTAAATCAAGGGAGCATATTATATAAATATATGATCGGATCATTAGTTTTACTGTTGTTGGAATGCAGTTTAGTTTATTATTTTTTGTCACCATATAATTTACTTACTATTAGTTAAGCATCATGTGAAATTTTAGGTCTTCATATTAATTAACATTATAATCACATATTTGTTTAAAGGAATGATGTTGTTGGCCAAAGTGTAGTCGCAATTATTCCTTTTTTTTTTTTTTAAAGAAACATATGTCTGACTCTGAGGCAGAGGCACAGTGTCAACATCATGTTTGAACTAAATGTAAAATTGTGCAAAAAAGAATTACATATTAATTAAGGTTTAATCAGTTTCCGAAAACCAGCTGCTGGGGGGGGGGGAAGAAAAGAAAAATCTTGTTTAATAATTATGATTCCAAACTTAATATCAAAGTTTAATATCACGTGTTTGAATTTTGGGAAGACAATTCTTTAAATAGTTATTGGTATGGTTTACTTGAATTTTATCTTTAGTGTTGTCTACTTGTTAATATTAATATTAAAAAATTCGAGTCACAATTTATTATTATTATAAGTCCATTCTTTCAAATAATGACATGGGAGTGAGACAGTTTAGTGGTGCCCGTATTAGAAAATTAGATCAATAAATTATAATAATGACATAGAAAAACATAGACTATTTTTTCATGGCGGTAAAAAATTTATTAAATATTTTAAACAAGAAATTTGAGTTGACAATGATGAATTGTAACTTTTTTTAGATGATAATTTACACAAAATGTATATTTTATGTTTAATTTCCATTAAGCATAAATTGCATTGTCTAATAATTTTTTATTTTTAAGTAAATTGAGTTGTAGAAATTTAAATATTTACCCAAAATAAAGATTTGGACAAAAAAAAAACTCCAAATAAAGCGGATTTTTTTTTTGGCGATGTATTTTTTTTTTTGGTGGGAGATATTAAAACTCGAGGACAAGACTTAACAATGGATTCTTTTTACACCAATGACTTAGTTAACTAATAATATTAATTAATGATTTTTTCCACAGTAAAAACCAATTATTTGAATTAATTAATTACCGTTGATTCCTGCATAAAAATAATTAATTAAATTAAATATATAAATCAATTAGTTTAGTTAGTTAAAGGAGTGCACGCGTTGAAAAAGCGCGTGACGTTGTTAGGGGACATGGCTTCTTCGGAAGGATGATTCCTTCCTCGTCTACTACTCTACCCTTCGTGCCTTCTTTCTTCTCAATTCTCTCTCTACAAGTTTCCTTCCTATGGAAACCGGAGTCCAAAGGAACGCACAGAAGAATTACTATATCTGATTATCTTTTTTATCCCAAAAAAGCAAGATCTAGCGACAGAGAAAGAAGATATTTCTCCTCCTCCTGCTCTGAGAATTTCCGTTTTTGTTTGTGTCCCTCCCTCTCTGCTGTCGCTCTGAGGATTTCAGGTTCATTTGAATCCTAATCTTCCTCTAATGTACCATTTGAGTTTCAAAAATATTTAATTTCTTCCTATTAAGACATGTTATGTGCCCGTGTATTTGTTCTCATTTTGTATTCATAGATTGCTTGCTATACTAGTTCTGATAGTGAAATTATGGCTGATTCTCCGCTCTTTGCTTGTTTTTAATTCATTTCTTGAAGTTTATTTGCTTTTGACAATGTGGGTACTTAGCCAATTTTGGCTACTTGAGGTTCAGAGCGTTGCAGTGCTAAATTTAGGGTTCTTGATGTTGGTTGTATAATTTGACTATTATGTTGTTATACTTTATGGACTCTAATTTGTTTAGAATTTGACGCTCGCTGTGTAATTCTTTCTAGCTCATTCTCAAAATTAAGTTCTGAATTCTACCTGGAGATTTGGCTTCTGTTTTGATTGACGCTATTGAATTACTTTTTTGGGAATAAATTGTTGAGAATTGGAGTAAGCATGAGTCTTGGATAATACTGTTGCTATGCGGATTTTGGGGTTTTCCCTCATTTGCTGCTGTTAACGTGGGTCTTCTAGCTGTGTTTCTTATCTATCTGAATTCTTTGTGAACTGCAGGACTGTTGGGATCCGTTTCTACAACGACCACACTGAATAAATTGTAGTTTGAAAGACTCATTTTAGGTTATTGTATGTGTATCACTGATTAGATAGTTCACAATACTGTTCGAATATCATATTTTGTGTCCAGATACCTTTGACATGTAGAAAGTTTTTTCATTGTGTTATTATGGTGTTTGATGTTGTTGAAGAATTAAAAATAAATAAATAAATTACCAGGATAGCGGAATACTGAGTTTTATTGGATGGGTAATAAACTTGGGAGGAGGAGACAAGTGGTGGATGAAAAGTATACAAGGCCACAAGGGTTGTATAATCACAAAGATGTGGATCACAAGAAGCTGAGAAAGCTAATACTTGAATCAAAACTTGCACCTTGCTATCCTGGAGATGAAGAATGTGCTAATGATCTTGAAGAGTGCCCAATATGTTTTCTGGTTGGTCTAAATTTCTTTGTACTTCAATCCTAGTTCCTTGTGCTTATTCTTTTGCTGTACTTTTTCCTTGAATGAACAAGGAATCCATTTCAACTTATGAAAGTTAAGCTATCAACTGCAAATAGAACTGCTTTCTTTTCAGTGGGTTTCAAAAATACTTGACAGCAGAAAGTGCCCAGATTTTCCCTATTTCCTTAATTTTTTAAAATAAAAGTCTGCTTCAAATTGTAAAACTTTATCAAGGACCTTTCTAATTATTGTATTTCATCTTTTTCTTTCAATTTAGTATTATCCAAGTTTAAATCGATCAAGATGTTGCACCAAGAGCATTTGTACTGGTAATTATTTTCTTATCTTCACAACTAATATATCTCATCATTAACGTTACTATGTGATCTGATTTAGTCCTTTTTGCCAGAGTGCTTTCTGCAGATGAAGGTTCCAAATTCAACTCGGCCTACACAGTATCCTTCATTACTAGTCATTTGTCTCTTATACAAAGAGCTATGACTTATACTTGCTTACTTGATAACTGCCATCTATCATTGGTTAAAATTTAATGGTAATTTCTTTCCTTAACCATGGTAGATGTCCTTTCTGCAAAACAGCAAATTATGCTGTGGAGTATCGGGGTGTGAAATCAAAGGAAGAAAAGGGATTGGAGCAGATTGTAAGTTGGTATCTGCCATAGCTATTGAGTTTAGGAATATGCTTGCTGAAATATTTGCACAATCAGTTCAGATGTACTGACATATACTTGATGCTCAGGAAGAACAGCGCGTTATAGAAGCAAAAATTAGGATGCGGCAGCAAGAGCTTCAGAATGAAGAGGAAAGAATGCAGAAAAGGCATGAAATGAATGGAAATGTAACACCTGCAGATGTTGAATATAGCTCAAATGCTGGTAGTCTTCAATGGAGTTCTGGATATTGTCTCTGTTTGATTGTTTCTGGTTGTATAAATTATTCTTTTGTTTTTTGTAGTGACTGCATCATCAGTTTCTGTTCTTGAAGGGGAGGAGATCATTACTTCTCAAGATTCATGTGTCACCCCAGTGATTAGACCGCCTCCAGCTGCTAGGAGCAATAGGTCTGCAAGTTTACACAACTTTTTAAGTTTTAATGATTTTTAATTTTCCCTCATTATGTTGCTGAAATCGACTCCTTTCAAGTCAATAAATGGAACAGAGAAAAATGAATTGAAATTTGTGATTTATGAGAACTTGTGTCTTAACTTTGGCTCATGAAATCTAAATTTTTCTGGGGTGTTTCATTTCCCATTAGTGTTCTAATTGTTGAGATTATATTGATATTGATTACATTGTCAAGAGTTGAGTCCAATATAAAATGACAGACATTAACCTTGTCATCTGGTCTGAATTCTGTGCTTGATTCAATAGTCTGCCTCAGGCATGTGCCTCTAATGAAAATGGCTATGAGGAGCATTTATCCTATTGCAATAGGAATCAACGACTACATGGATTGGATGATGCCATCGTGTTCTATCATTAATCAAACTTTGAGTAATGTTGTTAACCTAGGTCTCGTTCAACAACTTCCATAAGTTTTTTTTTTTTTTTTTAAGTCTTCCTTTACCCCTCTTAATAGGGTTCAAGGCTATCCATTCTACTTTTCTTACTAGTCCCTGCCATGACCTTCTTTATACATGGCTACACCATCTCAAAATATTTTCTACTATCCTTCTCTTAATAGATGTCACACCCATTTTTTCCTTTGTATGCTTATTGCGGATTTTATTTTTTCATGTATGCTCGCATATCCATCTCAATATTCTCATCTTTACTATTCTAATTTTATGCATTTGTTATCCCTTTAAAGCCTAACATTTACTGCCATATAACATGGCTGGTTTTATAGTAGTTCGATAAAACTTTCCTTTTAGTTTATGAGGTACTTTCTGATCTCAAATAACTTCTCCACTTAAAACACCCTGCTGATTTAAAAGTTTACTAAATTTAAATGTCTGGAGGATATAGAAAACCAGAACAGTTGATTGTAATTCAAGGGATGGTATATGATTGGAATGCTGCTTAGGAATATACTTACTGATGCAACCAAATCATAGATCAGTTGGTCATTTGGGTACATGGGCTGAGCATGAAGAAGATTGAGCTGGCAGCTGATTTGTTAACAGGATTGATGCCAGCAGTGAGTTTGACTTATGAATAAAAAGGGCAATCCAATCTTTGCCATGCTAGATGCATGCCCAGAAAATTCAACCACCTGCCGATTAGTTGCATTGCTTGTGATCTCAAGTCCTATTTAGATAATTGTTAGGGAATTTTGAATATCAACAGCAATAGTCGGTATCCAACATCTTTCTTTCATAGTTCTTGGATTGTAGTCAAACCATCAACGAACTGCTTGTTTCTATTCTTCTTCACACTGAAGTGTTAATAAGTTCTGTCAATATCAAGCATGATTGCACTAAGTGGAATTTTTTTAGTGGAATTCTGCAACTTGGAATTTGATTGATTATTCGTTAATGAAAATCTAAGCTCATAATTTCTTACATCAAGAAGCGGCTGCTGAATCTAGCAGTGTTGATGGGATGAATTCCTTATTATTTTAAGCTTTCGCCAATGTGTATAGTTACTGGTAGAAAAGTAGTTGGAAATGATGAGTCGTGTTGGTGCACCGGTGTTATAACTGACTAGTTTTAGGGAAAAAAAAATATTCAAGAGACGTGCTAGTAAATGGCCCATCCTAGTATTTGGTGGTCCTGTGGACCCGCACTTGGTCAACTTGCAATAATGCTTTCACACAGCTAGGCAGATTAATGTATATAAAGAGATCAGTAAGAGTTGTTCAACCTCAGTGCTAATTCAGCCTCACTCAGAAGAGAAAAGAGACAAAAAGATACTGCTTCTTCCTTTTCCTGAATAAATAATTGTTACACATCTTCATGTTAAGTGTCCTGTTTTCATATGCATGAATTGAACAGAAAGTTATGTATATTTACAAGAGGACTCTTTAAGTAATAGAATGTTCAAATGGTTGTAATAGATGGTGGAAAACGAGATGAATTTTTCTATCTTTTACCTGTGCAACTGACAAGCCATTGAGCTGACCCCTATGCTACACCATGTATGTTTTACCTGTTCAATTATAGGATGAACATAATTTAATACAATTGTATTAGAGTCATAAAACCATATATGATACTTTTTAAATTCATACTCACGATGACATGTATGATCCCCTAGTTGATCCCCGTGAAGATATTTGCTAGCTAGATTGATGTCTTTTGGTAAGCAAGCATTTAAATTCTATTGTTTGGTCATGGACACATGTGCTCGAATGCTTTCATGTCTTATGTAGTATGGTTACCTTGTATGTTTTTGTAACACTGAAAACTTGCAGAGATGATGAATTTGAACTTGACCTTGAGGACATTATGGTCATGGAAGCGGTCTGGCTTTCCATTCAGGTAAGGAATTTGTGTTTGAAATAAAAATGAATGTTGAATTTATCTGTAAAATTGAAGATTTTTTAATAAAAATAAAGTAATTTTCATTTCAATTCTTTTTCAGAATAATCTTTAAAGCCCACATTATAATTCTGTCATGTGTTGCCTAGTCATTCAAATATAGAATTGTTCATATTGTGTGTTTTTTCACTTGATTACCTTTAGACAAGGAGGAAATACATGCATGATTTTTTCTAACTGACTATATCTACAGCTTGATTATTGGACATGAATAGCTGCTTTCCAAAATACTAGAACTATACATTTTACTTTATCATGGCGCATGACTTGAACTAAAGCTCTCTGAGTATCATATTGAGTAATGCTACCTACTTAATTCTTGTATTTACTACTTTATAAGTCGCTTCACTTGAGTTAAGGCGCTGCACTTGAGTTAAGGTGAACCTTGTGTAAGTATTTTCTAGACATGGATTAAGCTATTTGTTCAGTGTGTAGATTTGTGAGATGCAAGTTTTGCGATCTTTGGTTTCTCACAGAATTGTCTGGGAAATGAAACTTGTAATTCAGTTTTACTCCTCCCTCCCCTTCCTTCCCCTGCTTGCTGGTGGAAAACTGTAATTATAGTAAGACAACCAGTCTATTTAACGAAGTGTATATATTGGCATTGCAGGAGAGTGGCCGGCAGAGAAATTTATCTTATCCAGCTTCTGGACAATACATAACTGGTGATAACTATGTTTCGTCTGCAACAAGTCCTCACGCTGGATCATCGTCATCGCCTTCTGGGGGCCTTGCTAGTGCAATCGCTGCTCTTGCAGAGCGTCAGCAAATGGGGGGAGAATCATCAACAAGCGCCAACGAGGGAAGTGCACCATCATTCAACATGCTACAAGGTCCCAACAGGTTTTATAGTCAGTTGAGTAGAGAATCTGGTGGCTATCTGCCTACAGACAACAGCGATGAGGTACCATCAGATAACTCGTCAGCCATGACTAGGGTTCATGGTGAATGGCCCATGGACAATGAACCACAGGTGGCTGAAGCAGCAAGCAGTTACACGAGTGCCATTGCAGCAGATGATAGCAGAATATCTTCCTTACCACAGCCCAATGACCTTGAAGGAACCACTGAAAATGACACAGAAACCATTGTTCCTGAGAGTTTTGAGGAGCAGATGATGCTAGCTATGGCTGTCTCTTTAGCCGAGGCTCGAGCCATGTCAAATGGACAAGGTGCTTCGTGGCAGTAGTTTTTGGTCAAGGTACTCGTTTAGTCTTTCTTAAATTGATGATGCTTGCATTACCATGGCTATTTGGTCAGCTTAGTCTTGGTTTGAGAGATTGAACAAGGTTCACACTTTCTGTGGAACTTGTTCGAAAGATCTGCGAAAGATTCTCTTTGCACACGTATTCATATATAAAGATGTCAAATGGAAAACAAATTATTTCTAATGTGTCAAAGGTTGTTGCTTGATGCTTCCTTCTCTTTTTGATTTCTTGTCCCCTTCCCCCTTCATTAGCTTTCTGTAAATAATGTTTCAAAATTTAACACAGGCCCTGATTGATTTATTTCCATTCTTAGACTTTATTTGGCACATTTTAATCATACACTGAACAGGAAAGGAGAGGAAATTGCCGTGTGAGTGTAATTTGTTTCTTGCTCTTTGAGATGAGTATATCAAATCATTCTTATAGGGAGTAGCATGTCAAATATTTACATTTTTCTTAGTTTTTTTTTTCTTCTTTGGCGAAATACATTATTCATGAACATGGAAAGTAGCACCTATTTTGAATATGAAAACTCTCACAATTTAGGTAGAATTCTTTATCAGATTCAATAATAAATACATATGTTGACAGGTCCTTTGCTTAGTAGCGCTTCTAAGGTATTCCTATGTTAACATTTTGGTGGTAACCCAATAATATACAATTTGACCTGTCTTGTTGCTGGTGCTGTTTCTGAGGTGAAGTGTTAAATTTGACGATGGAAGGAAAGTAGAGGCTATTGAGGCCTTCTTTGATTTTGTCTTTAAAGCCGGTTTTTTATTTTGGCCAATGTATATTTTTAATCTTTTAATTTTATATAAAATTTTATTTTAATCTCTTAATTTTATAAAATGTATTTTCAGTACAAAAAAGGTTTTATGTTGAACTTTTAAATATTGGTAAAACATTTTCAAGCATTAAGTTTATTTTTTTTTTAAATAACAATAATTGGTATAAAAAGCAATCATTTAAAACTAATGGTTTAGGGTTAGGGGATTAAAAATATACTTTATAAAATTAAAGAATTAAATTGAAACCTTGTATAAAGTTAGAAAATAAAAAATATACTTTAGCCTTCTATTTTTAAAAATAAAAAAATTGTTTGAGTAAATATTTTGGATTTAAATGTTTGATAACATTGACATTTAGAAAGATATATAAATATGTCATAGCTATTTTTGTTTTATTTTTTCTTTGGTTTTCAAAGTCCGTTCCATTTAATTATTGAAAATTACTGTTAGTTTTGATTAATCACATCATAAATTACTACTATTAATCATTGTTGACTATAATTATTGGTCCATTTTTTAACTCAAAGTGTTCAAATTAATATAATTAAATATATTTTTCTTTTAAAAAAAATTCTAAAAGTTATATTACGAAGTAATATTTAAAACCATAAAAATTGAAACACGAGGCCTAAAACATTATCATATTAAAAATTGAAACTTGTGTGATTCTTCGTTCCCGCCATGAGAATCGCGTTTCTCGTAGTAAGCATTATATATTCCAATATAATTATATAATGTTAGGTTAACCCCATACTTTCCCATAGTAATCATCATTCTTTAAAAATTAAAAATATAAATGTATGACCTTATACATATCAATCATTATTCCTATATCTCTATCACCTTATTTCCCTCTTAACCCAAAAAAACCTATCTATGGCCATGATCATGTTAGCTCAAATTATTTTCTACCATTTCATTACATTTCTCTCTCCAATAATCAAATAGGATCCCCAATGCTTTCGGAGAATCTAACATGCATTTTTTTATAAATAAATAATTTAACTACTTTACCTAATAACATTAAATTAATTATTTACCTCTAGTATTTAGATAAAATTTTAAAATAAAAAATCAAACCTCTTATTTTAAGCTAAGATAGAAATGAGTTGAGTTGGGATATTTGTTCACTTGAGGAAAAAGAGAGTGTAGGTTGAGCTTTATGTCATGGGACTGTTACTTTTTCTACAAAAAATTAATTTATTGGGACATATAAAGTGTTCGTTTATATAGTCAAAACCTTTTTAAAATCTTTATGACGTGGGACGTAACATTCAACCCACTTATTGAATTAAACAAGTGAACTGATCTGGCTCAAGAACTGTGTTGCTATGCCTCTTAGTTTTTTAGCACTATATTTGAATTTAAAGTTAACTTATAGGAGTTAGCTTTAGTAGAAGTAGCTATAACTACTTAAGCATGAGGTTTGGAGTTGAAATTTGAGTGAATATAGAAAATGTCTTTGAGAGAGTTACTTCTAATTGGGCCCAACAATACTTAAACAAGAAATTCAATCAAATACTTATATTAAAAAAAAATCTAAATGTTCCCAAAGATCAATCTAACGGTCAAGAACTAAGTTTGAGGAAATTGAGAACCAAAAACAAAAATGTTGAAAGGTCTAAAGATTCGTCTATGCACAAACTCATCTTCATCAGCACACATCAGTATATTCAGAGTACTGTTGGCTAAATTTATGGGTGTCACTTGTGGCGGAGCCACATGTGCTTGATGCCCCCCGCCAGCAAAATAGGAAAAATTACTGGTATAGGGGTATAGTTATTTATATTTACACCCTCATTTTTTTCATGTTTTTTCATATTAAACCCATCCTATCATAGGATTCCTATGTTACTTTTTAACATAGATCCAAAATTAAAATTTTTTAACTTAAAGCTTGGTAAATTTTAACCTACAATTTCATCATACCCAAGTACTAATATTATTTTATAAAAAATTAATATTTTATTAAATATTTAAGAAAATAGGGGGGGGGAGAATAACCTAGTTATACTCGGGTCGTTTGAAATCCCAAGTCAGATTTGGGGAAAAAATTGAAGAGTGCCTTTGTGCTGATCAATGTGGCTACAGTAATCGCCTCTGGTTTTTGGAGCAAGAATTTCGCTACTTCAGCTGCGTTGCTAGAACTGCGTTCGCCAAACTGGTCTTGCTATCCTCATCTTTGAAGTTTGAAAAGAGAAACTTGAAGCTAGAAAAGATAGCAAAAGAAGTAGAGAACGAATGAAGAAAAGAGAAGAGAAAGGAAGGAATAAGACATGAAGCTAGGAGAGAGAATGAGCAATTTTGAGTAGCATTCTTCAATCTTACACTTCTTGCCCGCAAAAGTTGACTTCTTATATAGGGGACAATGGATGTACAATTGTCCCATAATTTATATTAAAAAATATATATTTAAAAACATTGATAATAAATTGATTATTTAACAATTTCAAAATATGAACATACGTAGAGAAAATTTTCTTATACTCCTTGCGTGAACCAAACATGCTTAGAAGAGTTTCGTCCTCAAAATGTATGTGAATTAGTGATCGTGAGTTTCCAAAGTTTTTTACCATAATTTTTTTTTACAGTGCATAAGCTATTAAGAGTCTTATAAAATGAAAACGTTCACAAGGAAGTAACTGATCATTGCATGGAAATGAATACAAGACTGGGAAAAAAGGAAGAGGCTCTGATGAACGGAGTGACAAGCAAAATAATAACTTTAGAAGGCCTACATTGGAAAAAAGGCCAAGGCTCTGAAGAACGGACTTAGTTGCCAGTTGCCACTCTCTCCAAATGCTGGTTTCCGACTTCTAAGGGTCTATTGGGTTGGGCTTTTTCCTATAGTTTTCCATTTTGGGCTTCTTGAAACCTAGTCTTGCCCAAGAAGATGTTTTTGGTCCAAACAAGTACTTCGCTTCAAAGTAAAGAATGATTTTTTTAAAAAAAATAAATGAAGGAATTCAGCCTAAATGCTGAGGGTTGATACAACAATCATTATTAAGCAGGCTAATAACAACACTAGCTGAATGGACAATCAAAATGCTGAAGACGAGGTCACAAACTAAGTTTATTGTTTTGCAAGACAACCAGGGGAGGCATGAACTAGCTGGACATCCCATTCGCCAGAGAGTATAGTTCGTGTTTCCTCTGCCAGAGCCACCGTGCCGACTGCCGGAGCTCCATCACTGGCAGGGAGACCACCACAAGGGACCAAAGGGTCGAGGAAGAATTTCAACTCTTGACCTTCTGGTCGAGCAAAAGGTATTGCGCCACTGAATCACCAAAGGTAAACGATGATACGTGCAAAAATATATATATATATATATATATTGACTTTTGTTCTCAAGCATTCATGTGAATTACTGTTAATCACAATCACTGATGCATATTTTAACATAACTTGTTCATATGCAAAAAAAAAAAAATTATTAATTTTTAAAACCGAACTTATTCAATTTTTTTTAACAACTTGTTCCTTCAATATGAAATGTTATCAATATTATACTAAACAAAAAAAAAAGTATAGAAAAAGTAAATATGTTATAAATTTATTTTTCAAGAATTTTAATAAGCTTTGGTTAATCACGGATGCATTATTATTCATATCATATCCAAACAATCACTTGTAACATTCAAACATGAATATTCACATGTAAAAAAGTTGTCAATTTCTAAAACCCATCTTTTTCAATTTTTTTAACAACTTAGTACTTCAATATTGAAAAATTATCAAAATTATGCTAAATAAAAAAAGTAGATATGTTATAAAAAAAATTTTAAGAATTTTTAAGAGTTTTGGTTAATCATGAACACATTGTTGTTTATGAACAATTCATATTTATAATGTATATATTTTTTTTATTTAATATAATGTTGATAATTTATTAATGTTAAAGAAATAAGTTGCTAAAAAAAATTGAACAAATTAAATTTTAAAAATTGACAACATTTTTATGTATGAACTAATCATGTTTGAATATGTATAATTGATTATTTGGATATAAACAATGTAACAATGAGTTCATGATTAACAACAACTCACATATATACTTGAAAACAGAAGCTATAAGATATATATATATATATATATATATATTATATTTTTATTTTATTATTAAATTGCTTTAGTAGTTGAGTGACACACTTCATTTTGCAAAGCCAAGGGGTTAAGGATTCAAATGCCCCCTTAGCCCTTTGACTGGGATTGACCACTGGCCATCGGCGATGGCAGCCTCCTTGATGGCGACAAAGCTTTGGCAGCCTACACAGCATCTCCAATTGCCAGTGACGAAAAGACTTAAAAAAAAAAAAACAAAACAAAACAAAAGAGGCAAAGCGTCACTTTAATAAAATATTTAATTACAATTAAAGCGTTTGGGCCTAAAAAAGATTTCAGATTGCTTTAAAAATCTTAATCATGAGGGTCGTGACTAAAATTCTTTCTTCTTTTTTAAAAAGAAAACCTTTACCACTTTAGCTTTTGACTTGTGTTGTTTTAATGCAAGCAGAAGCTTCCTGTGTCACTATTACACTACATGCAAGT